CAACTCCTGGTGAATACAGATCCAAACCCCCTTGGATCTTAAAACAAAGAGAAATCAATCAGGTTCTTAAAAAGAAGGCTTTTAATTAAAGAAAAAGGTAAAAATCATCTCTGTAAAATCAGTATGGAAAATAACTTTACAGGGTAATCAAACTTAAAGAGCTCAGAGGACCCCCCTCTGTCTTAGGTTCAAAGTACAGCAAACAAAGATAAACACTCTGGTAAAAGGTACATTTACAAGTTGAGAAAACAAAGTAAATCTAAGACGCCTTGCCTGGCTTTTTACTTACAAGTTTGAAATATGAGAGACTTGTTTAGAAAGATGGGGAGAACCTGGATTGATGTCTGGTCCCTCTCAGTCCCAAGAGCGAACAACCCCTTAAAACAAAGAGCACACACAAAAGCCTTTCCCCCCCCAAGATTTGAAAGTATCTTGTCCCCTTATTGGTCCTTTGGGTCAGGTGTTAGCCATGTTACCCGAGCTTCTTAACCCTTTACAGGTAAAAGGATTTTGGAGTCTCTGGCCAGGAGGGATTTTAGTACTGTACACAGGAGAGCTATTACCCTTCCCTTTATAGTTATGAGTACTGACTGTGTTCTCACTTGTCACTGCAGGGGCTAGCTGTATGCCATGGCAACAGGCTTGCAGAGGGGGGAGCAGCTGGAGCCTTTCACTGGGGCAGGGGAAGGCTTAAGTAGGAGGATGTTACACTGCTAAAAATAGCACTGTAGAGCAAGGAGGTAGGTGTGTGTGCGCGCATGCGCGCACACACACACAGAGCGCTCTCCAGCCTGGGGGTTCAGGCATGTGCTCTTCACTGAAGCAATGCTGTTAAATACCAATGCTATGTCTGTACTCTACATGTCACTTAAGTGTAGATTAAGAGGGTGTGTGGTCAAGTTCATGTCTGTTCATAAAAGGAAATGCTTTACCTAACCTAATTGTCATTAGATGTTAATCCTGCTACCTGATAGTAGCCACTCCTAAAAACAGGATCTGGGAGTTGTTGGAACAGTAGCCTAATGCAGTAAACTAATTCTTATGTGCTGTAAGCAAAAGAGATTGATCAAAGTACTTAGGAGTTAAATCCATCAAGCAGAACAAAGGGAGAGTCAGGGCTATGACTCCATCTATAACCACTGTTAGAAGTGCTTAGTGTCATAACAGCAGAGGTGCTGTCCCAACACCTTGTGTCCCAAATGGTACATCTCTCAGGGGCAAAGAGTTTCCTGGAGCACATGCTATGGCTCAATGTCAGTTCTTGGTGAATAGTTTCAGCATGCTAGCAAACATTTTTCAGAAGCATCCACTCAGTTTTGGGTGCTGCATGCTCTGGGCTCTTGCCAAGTCAAGCATCCAAAATTAATGGACCCTTTTGAAAAGTGTGTCTTAAATCCTATAGCTTCATACATCTGCCTGCAGAACCCAAGGTTCTTATTAAAAAAAAAAAAACCACACTACACCAACTGCTATCAAAAATCTTTATGAAATACCTTTGACTGATATTTTGAAATACACACACAGTTTACATTTGTAAGAATTTAATAAATATATACTTAAGAGTAACAGCTCTCAAACAGCACATTGTGGACCAGATCCTGTAGTCCTTGTACATACGTAATTACCATTAGATTGACTGCCTTGGGAGTTAGTGGAAGGAATGCAGGACTGGCCCACATTACAATTGTGCTACAGGAAAAAAAAAATGCATAGGTGAAGTCCTCCATGCAAGGGTTATAGAGCATTAGCTTTACTTTTATATTTGGCTAGGATTTGTTTCAGGTTGTCCAAGAGGTCTTCAGACATAAATTCTTCAAACACTGTATCAGCTTTTGCATTATGCTCAGCCAGGTATTTCTAGGAAGAGAATGTTACTGGTGAGATTTCCAACTTTCGTTTTTAACCTAAAAGACATGCAGCTTCTGTGTCAGCACCATGTGCGTCTTTTATTATTATCCACTGCATTGGAATAAGGCCATCTATCTAACTTAAATAGTAAAACTGGTTTCTTCAATAAAAAAATTAACTAAATAAACTCCAAGATCTGACACGATAGTAAAGTAACTAGGTTGAAAACAGCTGTGTTTGACAGTGGCATGCCACCAAACTTTGTGAATTCCTAGGGCACAAATCTGATCCCTAGGAGTTCTTGTGAATGAAAGACATACCTGTGTTGCCTATTAAAATAGTCTCAACCCATAGGCTGATGGTGTAAAAGCCAATCCTGTTCTTGAGGGAGGTTAGCATAGCAGAACACCAAAGGAGCACGGATAATTTGTTGATTTTTAGGAAGCTTTAGATCCCTCTTAAATGTCTGCAGAGTGACTGGTAGCTCTCTGCCATAGTGCCTCTTCTTCATTTTCCCACACCTATGTATTTTTTTTTTTTTTTTTTTTTTTTGCTATTTCCTGGTACAAACCTTCAGAAAAATCCCAGCTTCATTGAAGTTAATGGTGCAGGATGTCACTCTGAATATCTAAGTATGCCTCTTCTCTCCCCTAGTCTAGCATTAGTTGTTTCCACATTTCTCCTTCCCACTGAATGTGTATATTTCAGATTGGAAACATGCAATCTGAATCTTGCACTTGGATTACAGTGTCCTAACCATTTACCTTCCCCAGACCCGAAGAAGTGCTGTGAAGCTCGTAAGCTTGTCCCTTTCAGCAACAGAAGTTGGTCCAATAAATATTACCTCACCTAGCTTGTGTCTAATGGCCTAAGCGTTCATCTCCCTTCTGTAGCCATCCCCTGCACAGTCACTATGAGTGTAATTCCATTTTAGAAGGGGTTTTGATGGCCCAATACTTTCACTAACCTAGATGGATTTACACAGCAAACTGCACACTCTTTATGGCTTAAGCCCTCTTGGTTAAAATTGTTTTCCCTGAATAAAGGTACTGGCGACATTAATTGTGAAGCAGATGCTCTAGGGATAGTCAGGAGCCCAGAGTTCTATTTCTGCTTCTGTCATTTCACTGCCCTTGGCTGAATCCCTGGCCCCTCTCTGTGCCTGTTTCCCCTCCCACAGTTTGTGTTGTCTATTGTAATGCTAACTATCAATCACATCCCACCCTTTGCGGATTGGTTAATAAGCCTTTGAACTACAGGAGAGGCTATTGTCATCTTTCCAAAATGATCTCTACTTTTTGCAGTTCTGATAACAGAGGGTCTGAACAAACTAGAACATCCACCTACATCAGCAGTACTGAACACCAACAATTAAAGTATTTGGAGACCTACAGTGTCTCCTTTTTCAAATACAGCCCAGGAAGAACAATTGCAACTGTTACTGCTATTTCATCCTACATTCAATCAGTGTGGTGACAGCTGTTTTAGGTGAGGTTGGCAGGGCATGGTGCTGTACTTTTGCAGCCTCCAAGCTCTTTGGCAAAAGCTTAATAGACATTGGAAGCATTACAAGGGGTCATTTTACCAGTAAACTGGCATTACAAGGGGTCATTTTACCAGTAAACTGGTCATTTTACTGGCTCTGCCAATAATTTGAGGGGGAGGTAGGGAAGATGAGGTGTGTGTGTATATATATATATATATATATATATATATATATATATATATGACTAAGGCAATCAGTCATGAAATATCCATGAAAGGAACCCTAGAACAAGAGACCATTAAGAGGCTATTCCCAACACCACACACTGGTTGGGTGCTCTGCTTGCACATGGCAGTTAGTTTCAGCACATTTTTAATCCACATGGAATTTGCTATTGTGTCACTTTGGGAGAAATTGTGGACTTTTCTGTACAGGAAGGGAGAAGATTCAGCATGCCCAGACAAACAGGAGAGAGATTTGTTCTTTCCAAGGAGCTTGGAGACACTAACCAGTCACTCCCGAGAGACTGACTGACTGACTTTTGGGGAGAACAGACCACCTCTTTCTTCATAACCTGCCATGAACTGAGCAGGACATGGGGAGAGAGAGAGAGAGAATTAAAGAGGGGTGGCGTGGAAATAAACTGACCGTAAATTGCCTTTTGGGCAATGTATATTTCCTGACCCTGCTTTCGTGTTAACAGTAATGGGTGTGACTTACCTCTACAGACCCTACTTGAAAAGCCACCATCTCCAGGACACGGTACAACTTATCAAGCAGTTGCATTTTCTCTTCATTTGTTGTCCTCACAGCAATCTGGTGCCTGAGGAATACAAATACATTCCCTTAATTGCATGCCCAGGCCAAAGAGAAACCTCTTCATTTTAAGGTTGACAATGTAATAAATATTAGAAAAACTCAACAGGCTGGATAATTTAAATCAAAGTAATTTAAATCAAGGCAATTTAAAAATCACCAAATGGAAAGCCTCGATTGAAACCTACTTTTCCATTTGTACTTCAGTGTCTTTCTAAAGGAAGGTGCATTCTCATTGGAAGATGCAACTATTAAAATGTTAATTTACAACTAAAGTCTTTTCACTAGATTTAGTGCATCCTTTTGCTATCTAAGAGGATACACTAGAACTATCTACATTTAAGCAATTATGTAGCTTAATATTGTCAGATTAACTGTACATTTTTAGTACATTAAAAAATTGTGAGTGATACTGCTTATTTACTAGATAATTTACTTTTTGCTCTGATTTGTGTCAAGCTGTAGTAGGATGGTAACTGGAATTTAAACAAACACAAAACAGAATATAAAATACCACCTTAAATGTTTTGGCTAGATAATCTCTTATCAAAGCATGTTCCACCTTTACAACTAAATGATTTATTAAACAGAGATTAACTACTCAGTGGATTAAACTGGTTATTTCAGGTGAGCTTGGGAAAATTTTCAAATATGCCTAAGTAAAAGTGAGTTTAAATTCCTAGTCTCACCTAAGTCTCTTGAAAATAAGACTGTCTCCTAAATTACTCAGGCTGACCTATTGTGCCATATTTAAAAAGCTTGACCTCAAAAGTTACTCAGGAAAAACATCTTCTATATAGAAAACAGCTATTAACTCAGTTTGCTTGTTTTTTGTCCAGATTTAATTTTAAACAGGTTTATTTTTATAAAAAATAATTTAAATAAAATAAAAATCCAATTTCAAATAAAATCTAATCCTGAAACTAAGACTATAGATAAAATTGAGTACCTATACAGTTTATACATTCTCTAGCAAGCATCTAGCCAATTCAGCATTATCAGACATTACAATAACCTTACATCTAATCTCTCCCAATACATTTTTAATCAGTTCAAACATATCAAAAACTCCATAAAGGCAGTGAACCATCCATGTACACAGGAGTATTTTTAGGTATTATATATAGATGTAGTCTAAGATGAGAAATCTTAGTTACACAACAATATTATGCGTGCTTTGTAGTGTTAAAAATATTAACATTCTGCAGCTATATGTGTAGGGCTAGACTTTGAATGTGCATGGTTTATGTAGCATGGCACAAGATAAAGCAGGGGACTGGGACTCAGATTTGAGAGTTCTATTCCTGGCTTTGCCACTGGCCTGCTGGGTGACTTTGGACAAGCATTTTCCCTTCCGGTGCCTCAGTTTACCCATCTGTAAAATGGTGGTAATACAGACTTCCTTTGTAAAGCACTTTGAGATCTACTGATGAAAGGCTATAAAAGAGCTAGAAAGTATAATATTAGGACTTTTATATGTTCAACAAGTGTGTCAAGCCTTGGGGCCTTTCTGTAGAACTTGAAAACTCGAAGACTCTTGATAGATGGGGCATAGAATTGGAATATGTAATAACTAACATTCACATGGCTGGATATTAGAGAATGCATGAACTGTAAAGGATACTGAAACCTTTAACTACATTCCAGTCACTATTGAAAGTTAACTTCTGAATTTCACAGTATATGGAAATGTGTCCAAACACATACAGGTATTTCGGACTCACTATGGCAGACTCACAGTAGCAAGGCTGATTAGAAATGGGCTTTTCCCCTCAAATCAATTTAGTCAGTCAAAAAAAAAAAAAAAACAGGGTTAATTTTCAAAAAGTGAAAAGGTTTTGGTTTCTTGACAAAGTCCATTTTCCACTGAAAGTAGCAGGCACTTTTCTTACGTTTGTCTTAAATTTTAACCAGCCCTTGCTATGCAGGCATTAATTAATACCCCATACTGCAAGGTTCTGGGAGGAGAGAGAGTTAGTGATATGGGAACTATAGTATATGTGCAAGACTAAGGGCTAGTTACGTATTCAGTCAAGGAAATCTTATACAAACTACAGAAATTCACCATCAACCCTCCAGAGTATGGTTTTCTCTCTACATTGCAATGCAGTAGACTTCTCAGGAACAATCTGTTTTAAAAAAAACATCTGGCTGTGTGCACTTACTTCTTCTGAATTTCGTGTAGCTCATTCATAGCTTCATTGAGGCCCTCGTTGACTCCAGCCTCAATTAGGTTTTTATGTATCTCTAGAGCTTGCAGTTCAGCTGCACTTTTTTCCTCTTCTTCTTCAGCCACCTAAGGAAGGATAAACAAATTCTGATCAGCAACATGTTCCTCAGACTAAGTTTACCTACCAATAATTAAAGTCCTAAAACTTGCTAGGAGAGTGGACCTCCTGCCAGCAGAGGAATACAGGCAAACCCAAAGAATTCCCCCTATGAGAGGATCAAACCAAGGCCTCAGCAGGACAAACTTCAACTAGTAAAAATTATTGACCCCCTTCTCTTCCCCCCACCCAAGATTAAACAGTTGCTTTTTGGTTATATTGCTAAAGGGGTGACAAGTAGCAGTGCAACTCACAAGCATGTTTTAAAAGGTAAAGCAAGTGTTCTTGGGTAAAGGTTCAACAACAATATGGCAAGATGATGTGGAATGGGAGAGGACCATACATGACTAGAAATAGTCCCAAACTTAGATCCCTTTAATAAAAACAAGTAACTCCTTAAAGGTTTCCTTTTTCTCTCTTTTCTTTCTAAGAGGAGCCATTGTTCTCATAGGCAGCCTGCCACTCAGCCCCCAATCTGAGTGGGGTTCAAAATGACTTAGCAAGAACTATGAAAAAAGAAACAGGAAGAAACACTTCTCTCCTGTATCCATTAGATCAGCAGTTCTCAAACTTTAGCAACCCGAGGACCCTCATTTTGATTTAGTATTTTTTGCAGACCCCCAAGTTCCCCGCTCAGCCCCAGGCCACACCCCCACAGCGCCACCCCTGCCCCTCCTCTTCCCTGCCTCTTTCCGCCCCCTCCCCTGAGTTTGCCCTGTCCCCGCTCTTCCCCCTCCCTCCCAGCACCTCCTGCACAACGCTGGCATGCATGGGGCCCTGGGAGATAGAGAGGGGGAGGAGTTGATCAGAAAGGCCCGCAGACCCCAGTTTGGGAAATGTTGCACTAGACGAGTTGGGCATTGGGTCAGGCATGAACTGTAATGAGCCAGGCATCATGAGAGGCTGCACATCCTGAAGCGTCCTTGCAGCACCAAATCTGAAATATTTTGTGAACCATTTTATTATTATTTTTAAAGACGTTTTGCCCTGTCCATGCACGTTGGCACCTGCCTACACCAGCATGCTGCCTGGAATGATTTTTGAGAACCTCACCAGGCTTTTTCTACCCCCTCCCCCCCACTTAGTGAGGAACAAGTGAGATTAGGACTGGATTAAGGCAGTCGGGGGCCCTAAACACATCACAGTGTGGTGCAAGTGAACTCAGTTTCTGCTGTAGAGAAGCCATCAACCAGGCAGATCCAGGTCCAGAAAGGGTTGCGGAAAAAGGTTGCAACAAGATATTTGTTCCAAGAAAAACTGGGTGTCTAAATACTTCCATCTGAACAGAAACTGGGTACCATACCTGACAACTGTTCAGAAAGAAATGGGAGGCAACACAACAACAAACATCCAAAGGGTGGGTGTGCGGAAAGGGAGCTCTTCTGCTGGAAGTTAGGCAGAGGGATAAGCAGTTTCTACTCATGAGATGCCACCTAAAACAGGACCAGCTGACTGTTCAAAGCCATATAATGATTCATCAGGCTAAATTCAGAGTGACAGAGGGTGTAAGTCAGTGCAGAATTTAGTCCTACTCATTCAAAGATTTCTCGTTTATTTTCACTTTAGAAAAGTAAATTCCTACCTTGAGCTTCTGCTGGTGATGGTCATCCAGCTTTTGGGCTTCGTCTTTCAGCAGTTTTATTTGTTGCTTTTCTTCTCTGCTATCACCACATTCAACTTCAAGAATAGATTTGGTTTAAAAAAACATAAAACACCACACACATATGTACAGCCGCCTGGAAATACCTTGCAAAACCTCAGAGTTATATAGAACTTTAAACAATAGACTACCTACATGGGGCTGAAACAAAGGTCAAGGACCCTTACTCAAGTGCTGGAGATAAATGCTCAGCCTGAACTCACAATGTAGATATTAAGATAAGGGAAATACTGGAGAACTCTTTAATGTCATGTTAATTTTCCCACATCAGGAAGCCAGATGAATTTATGTTCCCTCAGAAACAGAGAAAGGTGCTAGTGCGGTTGCAGAGTCCATGGAAAATTTTCACTGGAAAAAATAAACAGATGCTCAAATTTTGTACATTACCTTCGACCCATACAAATCATTTTCAGTGACACTGCTATAATTCTACAGTAGTCTGCACTTATACAGCAATAGGAAGATAACCCTTTTCAATGGGCATCTGAAAAAGGCAGAAAGTGAATGGACTTCTAATAAAAACTAACGAACAATATAAACTATGTCTTTTATAAAATAAGTGTTTTTGTCTCAAGGGGTGATGCAATGCATTTCCCTGTGCACTAACTATTCTATCGCACACCTTCAGTAAACTTTCTCCTGGTTTCCTACACTAGAGCAGGGGTCTCAAAGTCCCGGCCCATGGGCCATCTGCAGCCCGAGAACCGCCCGACTGTGGCCCGTGGAGGAGAGAGGCATGCAGCCACACTGCTGGCAATGTCTGCGGCAGGCGCTGCCCTCCTCCCCGCAGCTCCTATTGGCTGGAGGAGAGGGATAGAGATACCATCACCAGTTGCCGGGCAGAGTCAGCCATGGAGGCAGCGTCACTTTTTTCCACAATGAATATAAACAAGTCAAAATACCGAACACAACTATCTGATGCCCACCTTGCTGCAATCCTGAAGGTTTCAACTGCTCAGTCACTGAGGCCAAACATTAACAAACTGACAGAACGGATGCGTTGCCAGGTGTCTGGCAAAACACTAAAAACTCTCTGGCAGGCGAAGAACTGTATAAAGTTGTATGACAGTTTTATTATTTCTGAGAAATTCGAAATAAAAAATACAATATAAACATTTTCTTTTCTGAACACCATCTTCAGTGACATTATTGGCCCGCTGGGAGGAGTTGAGGACTGGCCCTGGCCCTAAGGTAAATTGAGTTTGAGACCCCTGCACAAGAGGGATAAAGTTCATTATGAACATACAGTATTACTCACTCACTCTCCTGGATTAATTTCAGCAATCTTTGCTTCTTTAGAGACTAACTGGACACCAATGTACATTAAGTATCAGTGTGCGGATCTCTGCTACCTAGCCCAAGCAGTAATGTTTGCTGGAACACTTCAGTGGCTAACAGGATCTTTTGTCCTGCTGCCACCTTCTCCATGGACCCAACATAGGGACCAAGCCAGTGTCTCAGCATTTAGCAGATTCCCGTTTTTTGTTGGATGGATTGTGGAATGATTACAGTACTGAATTACATGTCCTAAATGTGCAGCGGCTCAGGGTAGAGGTATAATATTTCAGATTCAAGACCTTGTACAGTGCTCAATTCATTTGCATGAATTAAGCAACGAAGGCTGGAGAGCTGAGGTGGTGAACTGCTGGTGCTGACTACAAATGACTATTTGTGTTACTAACAATACAGTGTCTACCTTAGCGCACACAGCGCCTACAATTCAAGTTAATTCACTGGCTGCTTTTTTAGGAATAACCTGTATTTCCTTCTCAGGTCTGGAGCTCTGCTGAAACAAATCAAGGAGCAGCAGACTCATTGCCAACTAAGAATATATTTTGACTGTAAATTTCTCTCTATATTCATGGTTTAAACCTATCACTTAAATCTTACAACACGGTCACCTTATATAGCCTAGGCCTGGTATTTCTGCTTGCTGAATTCGTTTACTCTTACATGTTCTTGAATAGGAGAAAATCCACATTTGCTTGACCGAGCTGAGATCTGTAACACCTACAGGGAACTTGGTAGCTGGGCTTGCACTCCATACCCTCTGCTAGATAACGAAGTGGGAAGTTTGCTTTCCTCCAGAGATATTTATGTGCTTTCACTGCACCAAACCATACACATTTGGATGAAAATATTTTGTGGCAGGTGTTCAGTTAAAGAATGCGGATTTAAGAGAAGTTACAGAATATGATCAGTAGGTTTCTCTAACCAGCAATGCCAAGAATAATATATAGCCCACTGATTCACTGCCTGAAGGCCACCATTCTGAAAATATTTACTATGTAAACCCCGTAAGCAAAGATGTATAAAGCTTTTAGAGCTCACCTGTTCTAAGGAATCCTCTAAAATGATTTTCTTGTTACTAGCTTTACTTATTGCCTCTTCAGTCTGCGGAACCTGTAATGCACATTGAAAAAAAGACACACACAGATAAGAGAGCCATGTGGTACAGTTCTGAAATTTACAAGGAATCGCTGACTGAATTCTGCCCATTAATGGGTATTCAAAATCTCTCCGCATCTTTAAAACAGACTTTTTTTTTTAAATCAGCCTGCCAAAGAAATGTTTCCTCCCCACATCCCAAAACATGTATTCTCCCCACCCCCTACCCCCACAAAAGTTACTCCTGCCAGGTAAGACTCAGCCCTACATCAGTGGCAGGTCACTGTTCTAACATCACTGAAACAGTAAAACTAGTGCAGCACTCAAGACCCACAGACAGTTCAGAGATGCAGCCATGTAATGGACAGTTTTTGCCAGGTGGTAGGTATTTTCCACCATGTTTCAAAGAGGCAGCACAGCTAGGCAGGGGAGAAGGAATAGAAGCAGTGCAGTAGGCTGGAAATGGTTGCAGGAAAGGGGGCACAATATATGCTGCAGCAAACAAAGAAAAGAACAAGTGAGATGAAGATGGCTTAAAATTCTCCTCTGAGGGATTGTAGCTTTTAACCAATCCCTACACTTTTACTCCTGGTGGAATTTTGCGCCACTGCGCACATGCAGAATTCCCCCCCCTGCAGAAAATACATTCTGCCTGAGAAGTGCTGCAGTTCTGCCTTTTGCCCAATGCTGGTGCCACAGAATTTTTTCCCTGTGGGGGGGGAGGAGGGGGGAAATTCTGCATGTGCGCAGTGGCGCAGAATTCCCCCAGGACTAGAAATTTATCACAGCACCCTGCCTGCGGCACCAGCTACCTGACCAACTGAATGATCCCTTAAAATTGTAGGATAGTAA